TAATTTTTATATTTTGTTTATTTCGAAATATTGCGCAAATTTTACAAAATATATTCGTAATATTACAAAATATATTATGTAGTATTATGCTATATTTCAAAATTTATTTCGCATTATTTCGAAATTTATTACATAATATTCTATAATTTATTTCGAAATACTCTGCGTTAATCGTAATTATTTCGAAATATTTTGGAATATAATAACTTACGTAAGTTTATGATTATATATTTTGCTGATATATTATTGAGCCAGATGATATTAAAATTTGTAAATTCAACAAGTCAGACTTCGACTTGAGTAATTTTTGTAGGTCTTTATATCTTAATTAAATATTAATTTTTTTTTAGATAATTATTTGACGTATATCGATAAAAATTAGCATAAATAAACATATTAATTGATTAAAAATAATCAGTTGAAGGATAAAGTAATCGGTTAGGGTTCATTTCCAGAAATATACTCAAAATCAAAATTTTACTAAAAAAACTTTTTTTATTTTTGACTCTCCTAATGAGACAAGGATCTTGGGGTCCAAGAAGCATGAATATATTATTCTTTACATGGATAAACAACCAAACAAAAAGAAAGCCAGGCTTTCTTCAGATAGCAACAAAGTTTTCAACTTTACAAAAGTTGAAGAAAACAAAGAAAATATAGCAAAACAAGACAACAACAACAATAGCAATAATAGCCACAAGTTAGAAACTAGTGTGTCATCAAATATAAATCTCAATAAGCTTGAAACAAGCTGGGCTAGCCAAGTTGAAAAGAAACAAGCCAAAGAAATAGCAGAAATAATAACAGAAGAATTACTCAAGAGTCAAGAAACATGTACTAAAAATGTAAACAAAACAAATTATGTATCAGAAGTAAACAATAAACAAGATAAAATAAATGTATCTAATACTAGCCAATCAGAGAACTCAACTTATAAAGATGAAGACACCCCAAGCAAGATACTAACAAAAGAATTCACAACCCAGAAGTAAAACCAAAACAGTGGTCCAATCTTTTTCTAAACTTAAAAAAGGAAAAGCAGCATATATAAGGTTTACTTCCAGACAACAAGTTTACTTCAAAAATAAAAATGCTCTTATTCTGGACATACAAAACCTTTGCAACATTGCTACTAATAATATTATCATAGCTTTAGCTATATCATTAAAGAAAGATCTAATTGCAACAAAAATACATATCAAGAAGAAAAAGAGTCTTCTTGGAAATTATTCTGAGAAACAAAAAGAAAGTTCAATACTATGCAGTGAAAAGAATTTCTCTGTTTAAATAAACCTTCTTTGGATATATTTCTCTTAATCTTAATCGCTCTTTTCTTACTATTAAGCTCAAAAACACTGATAGGTGATACTAATCATATTAGTGATAGCATTTTAGTAGTATTTCAAGATATTGGACAAATAGCCTCGATCAAGCCTTTTTTCTTTGAAGGCATCATGATCTGCATCGATCAATAGTTAGTTATTTTTGAAACTACAGAAGATCTGGATCTGGCTTCATGTTTACCAAGAAGTACACATATTAGAAACTATAGAGTTTTTATAGAATGAAAAGAAACCTCCAAAGTTTGCTTTTATTGTGACAAGGAAGATCATATTAAAAAAGACCACAAAGAGCTTAAAGCTTTAATAGAGACAAGAAAACTACTAAAAGAAGCCAAAGAACAGCAAGAAAAAGCAAAAACCAAGAGTTCTGGTCTTCTAGAAATTGATTTTAGTCAAAACAACCTATATATTAACCAGGAAGTTATAAATAACAACCCAAGTACTGAATTACTGGAAAAAACCAGAAATTTCTTCAAAAAAACAGCCACCAGAAACTATAATGGAGACAGATCTTAACAACTCCACAGACTCTTCTGATTAAATAAAAGAAACAAAAACAGTACCTGCAACTCCTATTAGCGCTACAAATACTATATCTCAAATAGAAATAGAATTTCAAAATAATCTAATAGCTCCTAATACTACTAATAGAACTGATGATAACACTCCTTTTATTACAGTTGTATCTAAAAAACAGAAAGTAAAAGGAAAAAAAGAAAGCCTATATATGATCAGAAAGTTTATATAGAAAAGCAAGTAGCTTTTATCAAAACTACCTTCTACATAAAAACCAATACTAAAGATATCTACCTTTAGTGTAGTTCTACCTTTTACAATTTAATGATTAAAATTGCTACACTTAATGTTAAGGGTCTGAACAACAGATCCAAAACACAAAAAATACTTACACTTTTTTTTTTTTTTTTGTTATTAAGGCCGATGTTACGGAGCTTACTGCCTTTATTTGTGTTTTTAGTTAATGCATTA